GTGCAGTGCCTGCTCACGGGAGCCATTGCCCAAGCAGCATCGGCCACAGTTCGAGTACCATCCTCATCAGCATCATCATCGCTGCATACAATCGTCGATAATCTCACGCTTGGCATCGGCAATATCGCCGCCGCAGACAGCGCATCCAGCCCATCCAGCCCATCCAGTTCAGTTCAGTCCAGCCATCCCAGCCCTGCCAACATCCTATCCTGCCCATCCAGATCCAGTCCCGACCCGAGCCGAGTTGCGAGTTCGACACGGCTTGGTTTGGCTTGGCTTGGCTTGGTTTAGATTTGTTTGGAGCTGCTGTTGTGACTTGGCATTCAATTGAATTTCGTTAAATTACATGAATGTATAACCATTTTAATTTTCTTCTCGGCTGCTGTCGGGAATCGCCTGGGATCTGGTTTGTGGCCCCGGCATCTCTCTGTGTCTGTCTGTGCCTGTGCCTGTGCTTGTGCCTGTCCCTGTGCTTGTGCCTCTGCTTGTGCTTGTAGTCGATGCCTTTTGAATGATGACCTTACAAATCACGTTTCGCAACGGCTAGAGCCTTGCTCTGGGACTTGCTCTGATCATCAAGATGCTGGGCTGTAGATAGTCCCGCCAGGAGGCATTCCTGTAACGACGCTGCTGCTGCTGTTGCTGCTGCTGCTGATGATGATGGGGAAGTGCCATCAGCGACGGCTCCCAAGGCAATGGGCCTCAAGGTGTTGCCCACAGTACAGTCAAAGCCAAAAGTCGCGGTAGCCAATGCGACATTTTTATTTAATACTCGTAGTTTGGCAATTAATTGACCCTGCAGCTTGTGGCTTCCGTTTCTCGACACTGTTTGTCTAACAAATCCCATTCCGTGTCTATCCAACAGCCTTTCCGTTGTTTACTTAGGTTCCCATAGGTCTCCCTTTGTGCACACATTTACCCACCCGAAAACCCATCATGATTTCCACCAATTCTGACTCTATACGCTGCCCCCTCCCACCCATCGTTTCGCACTGCACAAATCATGTCGATTTGTCCCTGGGAGTGAGTTGGCAAAAACTGTCAGTTAATTTCAATTTTGAACATGATACGCCCCGAAGGGGATAACTCCTCGTGTGACAAAAAAACAATTAAGTCCTAGGGTGACACGAAACGTGGCACAGCACATTCCCGCTGCACGGACAACTGTGGGTGGTGGGAGGGTGTTTCGGGAAACGGTAAGCGAAGCTGAATCAAACCTAATGTAATTCTCAAACACAATTCCCATACCTACATCGTGCTCGTACCTGCAGCACATGCAGAGTGAAAGCGTGAAAATGAAATGAAAAATCACAGTCCAAAACGCTCGCTTAGTGTGAGCCAGAGAGAAAGAAGAGAGAGAGAGTGTGGCATGCGGCATGAGACAGAGACAGGGACAGAAGCGCCGAGGCATGCACAATTGGGCGTTGTAATTGAATTAGTCACACCCACAGATTGCACACATGAATGACTTGCCGGAGACAAAGAGACACACCCGAATCGACTCCGGGGGGAGGCGGCTAAAATACGAACAAAAAATTGCGATTTATTTATTAAACTAGGTTACCAGGCAACGTGGCCCAGGACAATGACATGGAGACTCCTCTCCTCTGCTCTACTCGCAATGTTCGATGGAAAAAGGGACGTATTCAAGGCTATTTGTGCAACGAGTTGCACGTAGCCAGTTCCCACACTTCCACTCTGGATATTTTTACTATAAGTACATATGTTAAGGAGGATCGAACGTGTGAAAAGTATTCAGCTATTGAAATCAGTTCAAATGGAGATTAAACGGGTTTATACTCCCTTAGCGCCAAAAGCTGCTCTCAAGGAGGCATCTTTCCACTTTCTAAGCTCAAAGAGCGGCTAGCACTGAGATTAAAAATCACTCGAAATAGCATTTCAGAAGGGATATATACTTATTCCGTATTTAAGGAAAATTAAATGGTTTCAGATTTTGTGATTCTATTTTTTAGTACGATATTTAAGCCTCAGCTTGAAAGCTTTTCTCTCAGTGCATTGTAAAGACGAGTCCTCTGTTCTGGTCTCCCGAGTGCTGTGTGCGAGTGTGGGTGTGGGTGAGTGGGTAATGTGTCTCAAGTGGCGTTACCTAAGCTCCTGCGCTAAGTCGCCGCTCAAGTATTTGCCAGCCTGTTCGACAAGGCACACACACACACACACACTGGGGAAGTGCGAGGCCAATTTGCATTATAGTCGTCACAAGTGGGAGTGGCAGTGACACTGGTGGGCTGGTTTCAGCTGACTTGACCTTCCCCCGGGCGGCGCACACTGAGGTGACAGCAGTGGCAGCCCGTTTTTCTACTACACTTTCTCGAGCACTTTTTTCAGTGCCGCCTGAAAGTATGCTTTGAAATCCGCAGCTGCCGTTCGTAATTAAATGTGTAACCAAAGCAAAGGGTGGGGTTGGTGGGCCAGGGCAGTACATTAAGGTTATTTATCGTGTCGAGTGCCCGACCCTACCCCTACACCTGCCCGTCGCACACCCAGTAGTTGCTTTCATTTAAAATGATAAAATGCATGTTGACCTCAACAGAGCAGAGCAGAGCAGCAGGCAACAGAGGCAGGCAGCAGAGTGAAGGTACGAGAGTGCGAAAAGCACTCAACGGGCTCAAAGCTGTAATAAAATCTAAAAATGTGTTGCCACAAAAATGTTATTTCCTAAATAAACACACAGAGGGATAGTATAAGTAGGGAGGGAGAGTGTGGCGCCACGCCACCATCAGGTAACTGCTGAGAGGCAGGCTGTGTGCCTGCCCCCTCACACTTCTGGTTGGAATCCGGAGTGACAGAGATAACGTTGTCCTGGCCCGGCGCTCTCATCTCTAGCGGAAGTTACTCATGCGGCTTTTACTGGTAATTAAATTAAATTTATTTAATCCGAGTTAGCTTACGCTTCCAGCAGCAGGCAGCTAAAAGTGTTGCTTGCTGGAAGGATGGATGGGCGAGGGAGTGGATGATGCTGCATCGCCTTGTCCTGGCTTGGGTTACGTTGGCTTTTGGCAACAATGTTGCGGTGCGGCAACCACAGCAACCATTCTGGTGGTTCCGGCTGCTCTCAGGTGTCCATCCATTCGCATCTGCCCTGCCATGTGCTGCTGCTGCCCCACCCATCCAAAGCATCTTCTATTGCACTTAAAGTGACAGTTTTCCTGCTTTAAATTGTGTAATCGGACCTGATAAAAGCTTTTGTCATTTAAACGATGGCGATGGCCAGTAGCTGGGGAAATATTTCCAGGATATCAACCAGCTCAAAGGTGCAGAGCATTCTGTGGGTTTTCCTAGATTTTACATTTTCAACCGCAAAAGTTTCTGTCTGTTCGGTCAGCAGCTGGGATGGCAAAGCCCTCGACCACTAGGGAGCTTTCAAGAGCATTTAAGAATCGCTTTAGCTGGCTGTTTCAGGCTTCGGTTGGAGAATTCTTTAGCAATGATTTGAGAGAGGCTTCGCACCGGCTAATAATAATCGATAATCGATTGGTTCCATTTACAATTCATTCCGTTTTGCGAGGAATTCACAATTCATTCCATTCTTGGGAATGTTTTGTGAATGTATTTCTATTTTATGTGCTGCGATCATTCTTAAGAAAATGAACTTATATCTTGGAATGTTTATTTATTTGACTCTGGCGCTGACAGGACTTGAGGAGCGTCTCCTGCCAGAGGAAAAATTCAATGTTTTCTATTAGATATAAAAATAATAAAAATAAAGGCTAGAAATTCGAGTCTAAACATTTTTCTAGACATAAATGCTGCCACAATTACGAACAAATCTGGAGCCAAAACCAATAACCAAATTGGTGCCAGCCGCCGATCTGGTAAGGTCAAGAGTCAATCATCTGGCGAGCTCGGCGCAAAGGAAAAGCAATGGTGAAAAGGGAAAAGATACTCGAAGTCCCATAGGAAATCAGGCTTAGCGGTTGTTATATTCACATTATACGATTTTATTGCACAATTCGCGCGCGCTGTTTGCCATTTGTGGGCACAGTTGTTGGGCTGCCAACTTTATTTATGGGTCAGGGCAACAAAAATTCACAGCCAACAATGGAAATTGTGAGCCTTACGAGTGAGTACACGAGTGCTCGGAGTATGCCAGCATTGTGCCACAATATATATATATATTATTTTATTTTTCACAATTTTCCAACTGCAAGCAACGGCTGCACTGCACGGGCTGTTTTGTATTTGTTCAATTGCTGCAAATGCTTGGAAAGTATTTACAAACGTTTTCAATTCTGTTGCGGCGCCAGAAACACGAAGTTCCCCCCCCCCCCCCCTCTCCAAAAAAAATCAACTGAAACTAGACAAGAAAAAGTCCAGGCCATGGCACTGAATACCGAATACACTGCATGTGGCCAAGGGGATCGATCACAATGAAAGATTTTCAGTGGCAGGGATGTCGATTGTCTAGGCTCTGCCTCTTCCTCTTGTAAAGAACAGAGTCCTTCAGATAGAGGACACCTTGCAGATCCCCAATGCCGATACTGCAGCATCCCACAGCCTACTTGGCCATGTTGCGACTACTCTCCGCTGCATTGCGATTGGCAGTGGCAGTGGAACAACAGCAATCCGGAGAGTGTTGGCACTGCCACAAGCATTTCAATTTCCATTTCTATGCCGATGCTGCTGCTGCTGCTGGCAACCGGCGACTGGAATCGTGCCGTTAATCGGTTTAAATATGCGACAGGTTGTTGTTGCCAGGTCGGTATACAGCTTCAGCTTCAGCTCCAGCCCCACTCCCACTCTGCCACTCTGGCACTCTGCTCGTGCTCGGGCTGCTGCTGTTGCCTGGCAGCCTTTTGAGCGAAGGATTTCATAATCCGCTGCATTTGTCCCAACGATTATGCAATTTGGCCGGCTTCTGCGCCGCTTTCTGTTCAATTCAGGAAGTCATTTGCCCAACGTATTAAGGCCTTTGTGCAAATAAATGTTTATTTAAATTAGGCACCCGACAAATAAACACAGTAAGAAAATAAGAAAATACGAAAATGGGCAAAAAACACACACACAAAATACAAAAATACAAAAATAAACGGTAGCATTTTGGTGATTTGATTTTCACTTTCTATTTGCGGCTGGGCTTACAACAGGGTGCCCCACCGCAACAGTCACCGCCGAGGGCGAGGCCAAAGCCTGCATTTGTGTCTGTGTCGGTGTCTGTCTATTCCGCATTTGATTTGTTGTCGTCCATTGTTATTTTATGCAAATTTTTGCATTGCCATTTGGATAACTCGGAGCCATTGTGACTTATTTGAAATTAAAATACACAGTTAAATTGCGATAAAGGTTTTTTTTTTGGTGTGCTGTTGAACCTATCTTTGCAGTTCCCTCATAAACCTACAGGTAAAATATACGAACAACCCGATCAGACCTGAAAGAGAATGCCTTGAAGTACTTGTCACACAAATGTATTTGGGCTTAGACCTACCGAGGAAAAGGCAAATGGCAATGATTCCCAGCACTGAGTCTATTAAAAACAATTTGTCCATCCCCCATGTATCAATCAGCATCCCCAGACTCGAGGTAATCCATAAGCAGCCACCGAACATGGCCAATACGATGGCGGTCAGCAGCAGCACAAACATCTCCTGGTGGATAAACAGTTAGTGGGAGAACGGAGAGTGGCTGTGGTACGTGCCTGACTGGCGCCCACTAGGAGCAGCGTGGCGGCTAACAGAATCGGCAGCCAGGCGGAGAGTCCAACGACGATAAACGGCTTGAATCCCTCATAGACTTTAAAACAAAACAAAAATAAACAGAAAGCTGTTAGGGGCTGTCGCATTGGAGGATCTTTGATTGAGTACCCAGACAGTAGCCCTTCACCGAAATGTCCAATAATCCATAAAAGAAAGCACATATTGCGACCGCATAGCATTTACTCTGGCGACTCACCGATCTGCACATTCCGGCTCTAGGGATTTCACACCTGCAGCTGACACAACACTGACAACGAACGTAAAGAGATTGTTGTTGGGAATATGGAGAGAACTACAGGATTTATTAGATTCACATAAATTTTGAAGTACGGAAGGTTCACATTAGCGAACTAAATCATCGTCCGGTAGTATTTGAGTGGAACGCAAATGAAAAATCCAAACATAGCTACAACGGAAGGAAACCTTTTTAATCGGCAATCAAACGAAATCGACACACGGCTTACCGCTAATAATGAAAGCTATGAATGTGTCCTCGATAGCGTCTTTTGTATCCGCCCGTTGCTCTGCGGATATGAATGCTGAAATGATCAAAATTCCACCGAATGTGAAGGCCACAACGAGCCATATGAGCACCATAAAACGCTTCTTCTATATGACAACGAAATTAATATATTTTTATTGTCATTAAATACGCGGATAGTTTGTACTTGCATAATGGGCTCCATACCACAGAACTGCGGCAGCTGCACAAATCACAGCCCAGCATACCATTCCAGTGATTATATTCCAATTTGGTCCATCCCTCACTATGGGGTAAAGTAAGAGAAAAAACTGTACACGCTGAATTTAAATGAGATGATTGTTTAATTACAGATGGTCATGTACCCGAAAAATTCAATACAAATTGCACTAATTATCGCCATGACTGCGACTACCATGGAGGAATGTCTTGGCGATCCGCACATTTCGATTCTGATTAAATAAATACAAAACACCAGCTTGACATTGTACGTAAAGAGAACTATGTAGATGTAGAACACAAATGTTTACACTTTTGGGTATAAATCAGGGGTCGGCACACAGACTCACACATTTTTGTTGGTGCGTTTGTGTGCGAAGACAACAGACACGAAGTCAAATACGTTACTTATTTCTCTGCCGCTGCGAAAGCCGAGTAATTGTGAATAGGGCACACAAATGCTTCTCTGCCGCTGAGGCAGGCGAGCAGAATATGAAACCGTTTATGCATAGCCCGAAGCATGTTTCTCTGCCGCGACGTCAGCAGAGCAGAATTTTCTCTGCCGGTACGTCATCAGGCAGAATAACGAAACCACACGAAGTCTTTACGCTGAACGTGTGCCGACTGCGCTGCCCGAAGTTTTTTCCTATGCACAGTGCATACGACGCTGCCGGCCTCTGTACTATAAATTGATCAAATTCCAAAGCTTTAAAGATGCAAATTATTTGGTGCAGAATTTGTGACGAAATACAATTTTGGGATTTATTAAATCTAGAATTCACAGTAATTTGTATAGACTTGTACAGACTGAAATAAAATACGGGTAATAACCTTATCACAGTCACTATGTAAAGGCCGCGGTATGGTCGGACATCGTCCGAAAGTATCCAAATGGAATGCAAATAAAAAACGCAAATGCAACTGCAAGAGAAACTTTTTCAGTCAGCCTCGGAAAGCGGAAAATGGACTACAGGCTTACCGATGTAGATGACAAGTGTTAGTGAGAATGCAATAATGTCATTTGTTTTAGATACATGCGATAAACTAATGCTTGTGAAAACGATCGCAATGACTCCGCATATGCAAGCCACAAGGAGCCATATCATCACATAGAAACGAATCTCCTGTATGGAAAATGAAAGTGATAAAATTAGTGATGAATTATGTGATGGTGCAGAGAAGGTACTTGCAAAACGGGCCCCAAGCATTAGAACAACGCCGCCTATACACATCACACCCCAGACCACCATTATAACGATAAATTGCCAACTTGATCCGTGGGTTTCTATGGGATAGTACCGGACATAGTGTATGTTACATATACGATAATTATTTATTTACTGATCTGAGTCACTCCCCCAAGAAGGTTAAGAAATGAAAAGATGGCCGCACTTAAGCCGACTATCTTTGTCCTATTTCTTGGCGTGCCACTACACATTTTGATCGCACTCGTATGTGTGTGTATATCTCTGCTCAAAACAAAATAAATCAATCAACAAATTTTCAACCTGACAGTGTACGTAAGGAGAACGAGATATATTGTCACTGTCTGTATCATATATACAGATATTCGCAAATGTACGGAAGTACCAATTTAAATGACAAATTTTACTAACTGAATCAACAGATTGTGGCAAACGTGCAACACTGGACGTGTGCGTGTGTGTGTGTGTGTGCTGCATTCATATAATATTCTCCCTAACATCAGCTCGGGCACAAAAATGCTTACGTTTTAATTAAATTTGCAAGTAGTTTGGAAAAAACTTTCCAAAAGGTTGACAAAAGCAGGCGGGGCGGGGAGGCAACAAGTGAACTTTTTTGTTGACTGCAACCAGGAGGGTCACCTCAAAAGGTGCAGAAGAGAGTTACTGGAAAGGGCTGCCCTGGGGTTCTATGTGGACTATTGGCAGGGGCAAAGGCAGGGGCAGTGGCGGCAGGAGAGAGAAGGCTATTAATTAACTAGAAATGCCATTTTCTACAATTATACGTTTCCCGACTATATAGAAATGTAAAACTAATTACATTGCAATTTGCCAGCGTAATGGCAAGAGGACAGGGCCAGGCCCAGGCCCAGGCCCAGGTCCAGGGCTAGCCTGTGGTCCTAGCACCGCCTTTGGTTCTCACTCCGACTCTTGTCTATGCACACATACACATACATATACACTCGGTGTGTTTCTGGGTGGAGGAGTTGGCGGGCTCGTGGAAAACTGCATGCAAAGCAATTTATGTGTATGGAGGGGGTGGAGCTGAGGCGGATGCCGCACTAACAAGTTTCCGCGCTACTTCCTTGGAAATACAAAATCAATGCAACGAAAGCAAGGGACACATCCTGCTGGCCCCCTTCCCCCCACCCACCAGGTTTGTCCTGGCCTGAATCCCATACCACCACCCGCAAAAGTCCTTCGCCACACAGTCAAAGTTCTTAGCTGCCACTCGCTCAGGTGCTCCTTATGTACATATAAGTGCACGTATGTGTTAGTGGCAGTATAAAGGCGTTGGGCATGGCATAATATTATATGTGGCATGCAAATGCAGCCTTAAAGGCACATGCCAACTGCGCACAGTGGCCAACAACGCAGAAAATTGCTAACAAAAATACAGAGAAAGCAAAGTTAAAGCGGAGGAGGAGGTCCCCGTCCCCTCCGTTTTTCGCGTGTTAACTTAGCAGCGAACTATCCCACATTTAATATCCCAACTATCAAAGTTAGTGTTTCCTTGGAATTGACTAGAAGTAAAAGGTTTATTTGCAATCCTATGCAGTTTCCGTCTCCACTGTAAGTTCCCCATAGATTTTCAGAGTCAGAGCACGGGCTCTGGGTGTGGGCTCTGGTGCATTTGGCCGATTAATGGGCGCTATAATTTGTGTTTGTGTGCATACGCATACGCCGCTCTGGTTAGCGTTTATTTGAGCCGGGTTCCATTTCGCTTCAGTGCATTGGGCCGCAATATGATGGAGGAGGAGTGGCTGGGCTAGGGCCCGCGAGAGAGATTTGATTGATGTGGGATTTGTGGCACTTGTGGCACCACAAGCGATATCCTTCACACTGGCGGAAACCCGCCACACACACACACACATGTGAGTTGCAGTTGGTCATTGTTGCAATTGGCAAATCAATTCTTATTCAATTGTTTCACTTTAAATCGGACATTAGAGCTCAACAAGTTCGTATTTCCATGAAAATGTTTAGCAATTATTTAATAGAGCCGGGACCCTGTTTTAAGATTGAAATTATTTTGCAACGCCGATCAAATGGCAATGGAGATACATAATGGAGATGGGTTCAAGCCGCGTTAACCTTTCCTTAATGTCCGACTTTAAAGCCGATGCTTAAAACGTCGAAACGAGGTTCATTTGAGCATCATACAATAAGTCCGATGTCCTATGGCCGATGGCCGATGTCCGGGGTCCGATGGCTGGGGCAACAGCTCCCCAGTTGGCGCAGCTCGCGAAGAAGTTATGACTACAATTTGCGCTAAACCAAACCAGACCAAACCGAAACCAAACAATTTGTGGTCGCCTCTAATGCACTCACATATAACCCATTCCCGTACCCATACCCGTACCCAGCTCCTGGCCAATAATTACGCAGAGAGGAGTGCAGTGAAGTGAAGTGCAGTGCAGTGCGGGTCGGATCGGGATCGGGATCGGGGTCGGGGCCGAGGTAAATTATGTGTGCAAGTTGTGCGTAAAGTTTGGGCCATGCTTAAACTTTAGCGCCGTACTCCATACACCAGAAAGGGAGAGGGGTAGAGGGAAACAGTGCCTGGCACTGTGGGATGGCTGCTGACAAAGTGGCTGCACTTCCACTTCCAGTTCCCTGCAATGTCATAAAGTTTATCAGAGGAAGCCGCTCCTCCAGCAGCAGCCAAGCAGCCGAGCAGGCCAGCAGCGACTTTCCTTTGGCCATTTTTGGACTCCATGTGCGCTCCTCCATTGTGCGGCGGATCGAAGCGGTCTGCAGCTCCTTCCTATAGTTTATGGCACATTATTGGCATAAACATGGCGACGTGCAGCCCAGAGTCCACGTCCAAGTCCGGAGTCCAGAGTCTGGTATGCAAGGTGCAAGCTGGAAATTGTGTGATTTATTCCATGTGTCAGACCAAGCGTTCAATTAGCGACTTAAATTGTGAGTCAAGGGCCTAGACAACAAAGCCAAGATCGATGTGGTTATGGATATGGATGGGGGGGGGGCCATATGACTGGGGAATGGGAATAGGACGAAGCAGCGAGATTTCCACCGAAACTCTGACCCAATTCGAGTGCCCTTTCCTCGTATTTGACAATCGAAGGAATTATATAAAATATGGCTACGACTCTTGATGATGCCAACACAAACATATTTCATCTCTGTGTGTGTGTGTGTGTGTGTGTGGGGGAAACAGAGGGTCCTCGAATGAAGGCAGGAACTTGCGTAGGGAATGCCGAAGCATTTAGCACAATTTGTGCCTCATTGGTCCCCATAACAATGCCTCATCTTCAGCAGAGAGAGTCAGCCAAGCAGCCCCAGATCGATTTGGTGCTCTGTCGTTGCTCGGTCCTGGGTCCTCGGGTCTCGGCCACTTATTCTTTCAGCCAGCCAGCCAGCCAGCCAGTACCATAATTGATGATACCGAATGCCACTAAATTATCAATTGACCATAAATTTGCTCATTACGTTCGGTTCTTCTGCACTTTCCTGGCTCTGTCTCCCTGTCTGTCTGTCTTCCTGTCTCTCTATCTGTCTCCGTGTGTACGGGGTGATGTGGTGTGGGAGGGGGGTTTATTTTCATTCAACTTTTCATCTTCAGGTCTCTGTTGTGTCTAAGTTTTTGCGCGTCTGCCAAAACGTTTAACGTTTAACCTGAAACGACTCGGACTCGTACTCAGACTCGGACTCGGTACTCGGACGTCTCATCATCATTTGCCATTGTTGGATTGGATTGGCCTGGACCAGCACCAGCATCGGCAGCGGCCCGGCCCGGCCCGGTCCCGCACGGCTTGTCTTGGCTTGGCTCCGTTTGCCGTTTTAAATAACTTTTTTATAAGCGCTCTCGGATCGGGCATCTCTGTGGCAAGTTATTGGCATTTTGGGTTTTGTGTTTTGTGTTTGCTGCACGTTTTCCGCGCTGCCTCGACTGGGGGGGGTTTTTAAGCTGTCCAATGTGGATGCGGTTATGGTCGGGCCAACAAATTGTTGTTTACAGCTGTCGGGTGTTGGTATTTCATGGCCCTGTTTATCGCTCTCCCTCTCTCTCTCTCTCTCTCTCGCTCTCTGTGCACCGCTATAATTGCACTTTATGCTCTGAGAGCGGCTCGAATGTGGGCCGTCTGCGGTCGAGAGGCTGAGAGCTTAATACCCGATTAGAGTGCGATAGATTTAGAGCTTGCTGTGGCCCATAATTCCCAGCTAATTTAAGCCCAAGCAACAGTGCTTTAAATCATCAAATGCCCATGATGAGGACGTCACACAGGCCCATGAAGTGGGTCCTCCTGCTGGAGGGGACGACTTGGTGACCCAACAAGTGTTTCCCTGGATGCCCAAACATCCACACACATCCACACACATCCGCATGCATATGACCAAACACGACTTTGGCTGAATGATTAACATATCACGTTGCCATAACATTTCACAAGCGGCTCAGCTGCACACTCGATCCCGTCTAGGCTTCGCTTCGTCTCTCCTCTCCCATTCTTCTCCCTGGACAGTGATGGCGGCGTCTGGTTGCGGGTTGCGGGCTATAACCGCCTGACGGACGACCTGACTGGCAGCAGCAAATCAGCGCGAAACCTTTTCGCCTTTGGCGTAGGGGGCGCTTGTAATATTTAACACCAACTGAATTTTAATGCGATTTCCAAATGTCCGTCCGCAGTCCGGAGTCCGTAGTCCGTAGTTTGGAGTCCAGACCACAGCTGACAATGCTGGGCGCCTAATGGGCAACTAATATGCGCAAAATCACTTGGCAGGCAAGTCTCGAACTCCACTCGGATTACGCTCCTCCATTCAGAGTTGCAGTTGGCAGTGTGCAGTTGGCCGTTTGCTGTTTGCTGTCTGCTGTTGGGTTAGGTAAGGTCTGTCTCTGTCTCTGAGCAGATCGTGCATCATGAGGGGAGGCATTGCAACACCTTGTACATGTGTGGAGCAGCTGTAGCTGGGAGCTGGAGCAGGAGGGAGTTTCTCTTTTGAGCAGGGCTCACGATCACGTCACGAGCATCTCTACATGCTGGAGGAGCGAGCAATGTGGCTCTTGGAGAAGGTGTCAATAACTTTCAAATGCCTGGCTGGCCTGGCTTGCCAGGATATGCATTAATACTATTATAATATGCGGCGGGGCGGGGCGGGCGTTCGTCTCTGCGAAATTTATGCATTTTTCCAAGTTTTAATAATGTAGCTCGTTAGCCACGGTTTGTTAAGCTTTGTTTTCATTTTCACTTCACTTCACATCAAGGCACTGGCTGGACCTGCAGCTGGAGCTTGTCCCGGGGGTGGTAGGGCAGCTGCTCCACATCTCCCCCACCCCCACCCACAACTCAACCATGAACACAATCAAAACCCCCCTCCCCCTGCCTATCACGTGTTGCTGTCTTCGTTGCAAGTTACCGCACCAGCCCCAGCCTGGCCCCCCTCCCAACTCTGTTTCTGAGTGAAGTTTTTGTTTTCAATATGCGAGTCGTGAATTGGCCCCGGGTCCTTTTCTTGTTTTCGCTGCTCCTGCTGCAGCTATTCACTGCCGCTGGCCATATTGCAGTGGTGTTACGAATACCATGTCTGCTTGTGGCGCTTGCCAGCCAGCCAGCCAGCCAGCCAACCAGCCAGACAGCCAGCAAACCAGTCAACCCGACACCCGTTTGATAAACGTACAAAAGTGAAAACACATTTCGCATTCGGGCAGCGCCTGCTTTGCATAGCAGCGCAACGACCAGGCGGAGGCGCCCACTCAAGGATGTTTCAAGGGTCTTCCATTCAAATTAGCATTGTATCAGTATCAGTGGAATGCTTTAAAGTTCAGGGCAATGAATACGAATGAATAGCTGTCGATGAGTGCTTAGTGCACTCACTCAGCAATCAGTAAGGAAAGAGCAAGTATTTAATCAAATTAACCAACTTTCCGATTTGGCCTGGATACGATTGGTATAGTGGAATCACCGCATTCCTTGTCGGAGTTAGCTTCCCACTCAATTTACGTATCTCGTTACCTGTATTTCCCCTCCCCCTGACACATAGTTGATTAAGTAATCCAATAAAATGCCATTCCATGCACAGCACACAAAGGGAAAACATGCAGACGCCGTTTGCCCCAGCACTAGCATCAGTTCCAGCTTCAGGCTTCAGGCTCCCCCAACTTCAGTCATACATACATACATACATACATATGTCTGGCCATTAGACGAAATGGGAAAGTCGTGAGTTGGCGTTGAGTGCCGCAAAACAACTGAAATTCGTTTTCATTTGTTTGCCAGCATTATGGATGGCACTCATTAGGGTTAATAATTCGATGGATGTGTGTAGTACTCCCTCCGACACAGGCAGCCAGCTCTACAAGTTGTGAGAGTTCCCTTCGAGTTAAATATCAGTTTAGTATTTGGAATTCTCCGCAATGAGTTGGAAGTGTAAGAGACAAACCATATACATTATAGCTGCTGCATTGGGCGACATACTGCTAATAGCATTCCTCCGATACGGTAGGTACTCATCAGCTTAGCTTTAGCTTTAGCTTTGGCATGTCCCACTGTATTTTTTTTCGATTTCCGATTCAGTTTGGCATCTCACTCTATTCGATGTTTTCCTGTTCATTGCGCTTATACTGCTGAGCGGAGCTGCCGTCTACGTGGACTGTTGGATAAGCCTGGTAATGATTTCTGGGCATATTCTAGATATAACTACAAGTATACGTGGCATTCGTTTAGGAACATCCAACACTCATTCTGGCTGGCATCCTGGCTGTACCACTCGGCTGCATCCATCTACTGCTCTGGCGAATCGACATTTCAACTGAACTTTGGGCTGGATTTAAAATATTACCGAAAATCGGCCACGTTTTAGTTTTAACTTTTCTTTTAGGTAAGAAAAATGCACCAAAATTTTAGCTTAATTTATTGGTTTTCTTTGTGGCACAGTCTTTCCTGCGTTTTGGCTATTTCTTGCATTTTTCTACTTTCACAATCTGAACAACAACACCTCAGCGGGTATACATTGGAGAGACTCATAGCATCAGGGCTTGCCCAGTAAGTAATATGTAAATGTAAATAAGAAAACAGTTTTCATCTCGTCACCGAAAATGGTTAAGTAATTGTGTAAAATATTTGCAAAATGTCTGGGCCGGCAATTATGTGCTAAAATCAGTTGATAAAGTTGCACTTCCATTCACCATTAACATGATTAGCTGAAAATTTGTGGCCGAACTTCTAATGAATGGAAATCATTTGAAAGTTTTGCCATTGGCTCTGCTAATAAGACATATTGTCTAGTGTAAGGATCTGCCCGGACTGAAAGGTGAGCCCCAGAAATACAATAAACAGTCTTGGTCTTGGGAGACCTTTTCTCGGATGCCTTAACCTGTCCGTGTCCGTGTTTGTGTCCCGTGTCCCGTGCCCCTTGTCCCTTGTCGTTGTAGTCCTTCCTCCTGTTGCCATCGTTTTTGTTGTCATAAGTTTGGCAACTTGTTCGCTTCCTTTGGGCCAAGCGAAGCACATTACAACTAATACACTCTGACGATGTTGCCCCCAAAGTTTGCTTGCGTCTCGGTCTCGTCTCACAAAGAGCATAATTACCAACAACATGGAAAAAAGTAAGAAAAACGAGGCAGTGCAGCAGCAGAAAGGAGAACGAAGAACGAAGAACGAAACTTTTCAACAAAATTATTTGTGGTTGCAAACAGATATAGACGGAGTGAGGGGCCGCCACAGGCAGCCGAACGAGAGCGGGCGGGCGGGCACAAGTTTGACATAAAGAAAAGTTTGCACAAACCGACTTAAAGAAAATTATAATTACACGCACAGTCAGCCAAATAGTCCATGTTTTTTGTGTGTGTGTGTGGGGGGGGGAGGATACTCTGGCTCTGGTTCGTTTTGGGGTTCGTGTTCTCGTGCTCGTTTTAGGGTTGGGGTTTTTCGCAGCAGAAAATACTTTAATTGCCGTTAGTTTCCAAAGTTTCCAATTCATTCGCAATTTGTGTGTGCGAGAAGGACAAATGGCAGACAAACAAGAGCCGCAAATTATGCAAAAATATGCAAAAGAAAAAATTGATGTATATACTCGTATGTATGTATGTATATATAGAGGAAACAGAAAACGCCAATTTGCCTCGAACCATGAAAATTGGAGAGTCTAATTAGAGCCCATACCTGCGCCAGCCAGCCCAGAATAGTTTGGCTCAAACTGCAAAATCCCCCACCAGTCCGCACCCATCCCTCTTACACACACAAAGATCAACTCGGACTCGGTAAAGGGCGGCACGGCACGGCCCGGCCCGGCCCGGCGGCAACTGAACTGCCGGGATTGAATTACGTGCATTACTTAGAGTTGGTCGTCGGTCCTTTGGGTGGTTCCTAGCTTTCAGTTAGTTTCTGGTTATGCCATCCATCCCTTTTTTTTTCTGTGGAACTTTATAATTGGCTTGTGCAATTAAAACGATGGAAAAACTTAAGACACAACCATACAAAATATGCATATATCTCGATATTATATTATGGGATATTTAAAAACCATTTTTGACTGTTGGCAGATTTGCTTTAATCTCAAGCTGTAACTAGCGGTTAGTTGTACCCTCTCGTTTGGCTCACTGAAATGCTCTCCTAGAGGAATCTACTTTCTGATTAAAGAAAGATGAAAGAATATCGCACTCCAGAGTTATTGCAGTGGGAATGTTTTTCATTTATTTTTTTTAAATTTTACTCTCGACTGAATCGAGTCTCCTGCCTGCCCTTTGACTGCTGGCTGCCCAGCTCCCTTCGCCCCTTCTCACCACTTTCCATTCCCAGTGCCAGTGCCAGTAGCAGTAGCAGTCGCAGTCCCAACTCCTATTCCCATTTTAATTTTGTACATGGACAGAGCGGCGGTCCAGGTTATCCCTTGACCCGGACCCCTGGTCACTTTGTCTGGGAGTGTTTAATTTATTTAATGCATGCACAATTTCCTAGACACTTTAACGGCGACTCTTGATTTCCATTCCCCAAATCATTTGGACGGATGGGGGGCTGTGGACAAAGCCAGCTGCCGCTGCCGCTGCTGCTGCTGGTGCTGCCGGGTGGGGCTTTATAGAGCGGCAAAGGAAATAAATATAGACAGCGTCTAGGGCCCAGACGAAAATAAAAACAAACAGTCTAACAAAGGGATTTTTCGCGCTTTCCATGAGCCTTGAGCCTTGGGGGTTTGGCACTGGCTTTTCAGTGGAGATTGCAGTTTTCCGGCTGCTGGCTTTCATTAAAGTAACGCCACACAATGAGAGAAAGAGAGAGAGAGAGGGAGAGAGAGAGAAAGAGAAAGAGAGAGAGAGCGGGAGAGAGAGTGCCAGGGGCTGGCTTATTTTCGTTTAAATTTCCTTTCGATTGATGAAAGAAAATATTCACTTATAGCCCCCAAATTCGATATGAATATTTGGCCTGCAGAAAATGCAAAAAGCAGAGCACTGTTGTGGCTACACACTCGACTCCGCCCCAGCTTCAGTCTTCAGTCTCTGGCACAAGCTCGGCCACAGTCTGGCAGGCAGGCAGGCGGGCAGGCAGGGGGGGGGGGGCAGGCAACGAAATCAATGACAGAAATATGAAATGAAAATATAATTGGTAATTTATTGTGTCTACAGATCGTTGCAGCAAGTAAAATAATAAATGTACGAGTGCACGAGTATATATGTATGCATTTCGATTCGTCTGGGGATATATTCTCGTATGCATACAACACGAATATCCCCCCCATGCAGTTGTGCCTACAGCTGCCCAGCCAGCAGCCAGCCCACCTCTTTGGAGGCCAGTTTGTCGGCCGGTGCGGGTGCGTCATTGGCAGGCAACTGCTCCGCTCCACTCCACTCCACAGCTCCACTCCGTACTCCACTCCATGCACCGAAATCCACTCGAGTGCGCACCAATAAAAATAATAAAAATTGTGCCACAATAAAAAGCGCAGCGCGCACAAAGAGTATACAAAAAATATACAAAAAAAAAAAAAAAATAGCACAAACTCACGGCCCGACCATATAAATCACACAACTTTGCAGACTTGGGATCCCCCCCATAGTATGGCTCTGGCTCTGGCTCTTTGGTTGCACTTGCGGCAAGATGATGCGGGAAAGGGGGTATATGGCGGACTACTTGACTGCATGGAACAGGACATGGCAAAAAGGATGCATATGCAGGAGCCCCACACTTGAACGAGCATTTTAATAATATTAAACGAGACACAATGGAGGAGAAAACATTTACATAATTAGACAGACAGCATCAAGTCGAGGGTTAAAATAATTTAAAACATGCAAATATTCATCCGATAATAATAATAATAATAATAATAATCCATATAGATTCCCTTTAAAAATAGAAATCACGATCATTAATTATGCTAAAACCAAAAGAGGAAATGTCGGTGTACCATTGTTCGGCATAGTTTTTCCATAGATTTTCAGTATCGATGGCAACCCAAAGGGGGGGGTCTGGTCTGGTCTGCCATTTGATTTCTATAAATCAATGGCCGCTACGCAAACTGTCAAAGCAGCAATGGGGCAAGCATTCCGTTTGCTTGCAGCGCGCTGCAGCGGCGGCGGTTGCTTTTATTAGAAAATGCCGCACATTTGACGATAAATCAAAGACCAGATCGCCAATCCGATCAAAAGGCGAACACAGCGAACCGCACACCGCAAACAAACAAACGGACAACAAAACAGAGCCAAGGAATTCCAACAATGCTGCGGGGAGACACAGAATTGTCAAATTCGGGAAGTTGTAGAGGCACGGGCACACGGGCTGTACACATTGGCTAACGAGCTGCTGGCTGACTGGCTGGCTGGCTGTTCGTTCATTAACGCCATTAAACCCGTTTTGACATTTTAATTAAGAATGTGCCACATTGCGTATGCGAATTCTGTGCTGCTTCTGTGCTGTCCCCTGCAAACTAGCAACTGCGAACAGCAACAAGCTGCCAAGGTCAAGATCATAGATCATAGGCGAATGCTTATCGCCGTCTACAAGCAGTCGCTGCCAGAGCAAGAGGAACAGCGCCACGGAGACAGCTTATCGGGCATATCGGTCGACTCCATCTGCCATTGGCCATGTCCTGCAGCGAGCAGCCGCGCGACAAGGCTAAGAAATTTGCATTTACCAGACTGTCGCCCACTTAATTACGCAGCAACGCAATCGTCGTCACCGTCAGCGTTGAAGTCGCCGTCGCCGTTGCAGTCGCAGTCGCCGGCGTTGCAACAGCATGTTGCACACTAACAAGCATGCCACAGAGCAGGGCACAGGCAACCAGCCAGCAGTGCACCCGACAAATCCAACTGAGAATGACAATAATCTGCAGGCCAGCGATGGGACTCTCCATTTTCAGTGGAAAATATATTTGAATAATTTTCATTAATTGATTAAAGTTTATCTTTCGGTTTTAAATTATTCTGCCTTCAGCAATTTCGGAGATAGTCTTTTACTCGTTTTGTGGGGTGCACTGGAGTCGCTGACAACGTGTAACTAGAAATATTTCGCAACAAATTATTCAACACTTTGCATGCACACCAGACGAAGACGGCGGGTGGCGGGTGCCACGGGCATGGGACAACATGAGGCATCTCTCACAGCCCCACCGAACAACAACAACAACAACAGCAGCAGCAGGGTGTGGAGTGGGGCAGGGTAGGGCAGGGCAGGAGAGCAATCGAGAGTATCCGTTCCAGACTATATTCCGAATCCCTTCGGCCTTCGTCGGCCTCAACGACTGTCAGCATCTTGTCTTTGGGCTCCTGTTTGTCATTTGCCCAGCGCGACGGCGGCATGTTAAATGCTGTTGGAATTTTCCACAGCGGATGCCAAAGCGGGGATTGGGGGGGACGGTAAACGGTAGATCGGGTGCCGGCTGCTCGTAAATCATGCCAATTTAAATGAGCGAAACCTGCGTTTTGACACTTGTCATTGTCATAGGAGGCATCCCAAGTGTGGGGCCCGTTTGATTTCCAGTTGCAGATCCGCAGACTGCATGACGTCGTCTTCATTTGTATCTGCCACGGGCACG